TATGCCAGAAAATACACCATCCCCATTGACCGCATTGGATTTGAATTTGAGGTAAGAACACGTGGAGGAATTTTGCTTTTCTTGAGCAGCTTGAAAGATGTTCTGGGGCAGCAGGGAATGGAGTTTTCAAAAGAAATCCTATTGCAGGATTCAACATACTCAAAATAAATATTAATATAGTATATTAATATACTCCAAATGAAAGCAGAACAAAGCAAATGGTTTCTTCGTTCCAGGTGCTGAAACAGGAGGACACGATGGAGAAAGTACCAGAAGATGGGGCTTATGTGAAAGGCCTTTTTTTGGAAGGTGCACGATGGGATCGAGAATCCTCGGTGATTGGAGAATCGCTTCCAAAAATCCTGTATGATCCCTTGCCCATAATATGGCTGAAGCCTGGAGAAAGTTCCAGATTTCTTCATATGAACATCTATTCCTGCCCAGTGTACAAGACAAGCGCAAGAAGAGGCGTCTTATCCACAACTGGCCACTCAACCAACTACGTTCTCTCTGTCGAGCTCCCTTCAGAGCAGCCCCAGAAGCACTGGATAAATCGCGGTGTGGCAGCGCTGTGCCAGCTCGATGACTGAGACAAGTCAGTGCTCCCTTCATTCGTAATTAAAAGATATGCTTTGCACTCCGGTGGCTGTTTGTTGCTTTTTATTGTAATTTATTACTATTACTTTATTTTTAAATACCGCTATTTACTGCTGGCCTTAATACAGCTCCAAATTTCTTACGTTTCTTTGGCCATTCTGACCCCTGCACAAAAATGAGTAAGTCATAGAATCACTGAATCACTGAGGTTGGAAAATATCTCTGAGATCAGTCCGACCATCCACCTACCACCACTATTTCCCAGTAAACCACTTCCTTCAGTTCCACATCTACGCAGTTTTTGAACCCCTCCAAGGACGGTGGCTCCGCATCCCCCCTGGGCAGAGCCCATTTCAGCTCCCTACCCCTCTTTCAGAGGAGAAATGTTTCCTGATACCCAACCTGAATGCCCTGGAACAACTTGAGGCCATTCTTTCACCTTGCTGCTACTATTGGGTCTTTTTGTTTGTTTATCCCCAGATAAAATTGGGCTCAGAGAGTTTTGCTGCTGATTTCAATGAGAATCTAATCCACAGCTTTTGCAAATAGGACTTTCTACACCTTGTGTCCCAGGAGGATGTGGAACAAGGAGTGAGCACATGAGAACTGTCTCTTCTCAACATGTAGAACTGATCTTCCACTAGAATGAACTGCCAGAGCTGTTCTGTATAACGACAATCACTGATACTCCTTGGATATGTGCGCTAGAATTTCCATGGAAGAATTCTGGAAAGCACATGCAAAAGGAGCCTGCCGTCTCCTGGAGCAGCATGCTTGCCTCGTCCTCCAGTAGCTATTAAATTTCTGTATTAATGACATGCTTTTCCCATGCCTGATCAGTGGAGCTAAGTTTCCTTTCTCCCACAGTCTATTGTACCTCATGTCAGACTAATAATCATCTATTATTTTGTCTAAAGATGGATTCTTAGAATTTTGATATATGCAGTACAATGGAACAACAGAGATCAAAGCAAACATTAAAAAAAAAAACAACCCAACAACCAACAAACCACTGCATCCACTGATTTGGGGTCACATCTTTTTTCACGGAATCACAGAATCACAGAATTGTAGGGGTTGGAAGGGACCTCCAGAGATCATCGAGTCCAACCCCCTGCCAAAGCAGTTCCCTACAGCAGGTCGCACAAGTAGGCATCCAGGCAGGTCTTGAACATCTCCAGAGAAGGAGACTCCACCACCTCCCTGGGCAGCCTGTTCCAGTGCTCCTCACCTCACTGTACAGCAGTTCCTTCACACATTGGTGCAGAACTTCCTATGCTGCAGTTTCCAGCAGTTTCCCCTTGTCCTGTCTCCACTCACCACTGAAAAGAGTCTGGCCTCGCCATTCTGCCCCCCACACCTTAGATATTTATAGACCTGGATCAGGTCCCCTCTCAGTCTTCTTTTCTCCAGGCTGAACAGACTCAGTTCACTCAGCCTTTCTCCATAGGAGAGATGCTCCAGACCCTTCACCATCTTTGTGGCCCTGCGCTGGACTCTTTCCAAGAGATCGCTGTCTTTCTTGTACTGGGGAGCCCAGAACTGGAGTACTGCAGTGCTCCAGATGAGGCCTTACCAGGGCAGAGTAGAGGGGGAGGATCACCTCCCTTGACCTGCTGGCCACGCTCTTTTTAATGCATCCCAGGATGCCATTGGCCCTCTTGGCCACAAGGGCACACTGCTGGCTCATGGCCGACCTGTCGTCCACCAGGACACCCAGGTCCCTCTACACAGAGCTCCTCTCCAGCAGGTCATCCCCCATACCACAAAGGTCATCCCCACCCCTGCCTTTGGCCCCTGCAGCTCATGCAGGACCGGCTGTACACCAACGTGACTGCACAGCTACCACAAGGACAACCTTTCTTGAGAAGAGAATGAGGCTTCAGAAATCTGTAATTAAGGTCAGTTTAATTAAAATTGGTCTTCTAAAACCACAGTCTTTTCTTAGATTTCATGAAATTAACAGGGATGGTTTCTACTTTTAATATGACTAAAATTAGCTGAAATACAGCACATGCTTTAAAAAATAAAAGGTCATTATTATCATTTTGAACAGCTGCATCTGATTACAATTATCAGATCAATAACGGATTACTCATGAGGCCAATGTGACATCAGAGGGGACAGAGGGATATGAATATGAGGGGAGTGAACATGAGGGACATCATCTGAAATGATGGCATTGTGAAGGCTTGTGGAGGGTTGAAGAAGGGTTTTGATTTGTGCTGAGGAGCTTTAGAAGGCGGATTTAAAAGACGGAGTGAAGATGGTCTAAGCGGTAAGCATCAAGCAGAACATTCAATATCTTGAACTATTCCAGCATTGACATACAGAAGCTTTCTGTGGTACCTGGTGGTGGAAGAATCATTTGCTTGTAAAGAGTGAAATGGAGCCCCTGGCAGTGAGGGCATCAATGCTGCATAGCCCTTCTTGCCTTTGTTTTGAACTTTAAAAAACAAAGGCCTGATTAGTTGGAGCAGGTTTTTCCTGAGGGAAGAATATGGAGTATAATTACAAAATACAGTGCTTGGAGATGAACTGGAGTTGTGTTCTTTTTAATCCACCCTAAAGGACTTAACACTTCTATTTCCTGATACTTCTCTCAGCGTTAGACTAGCTTCTTTGTGCTGCATTTTTCTTTTTTCCTCCCCTGGTGGAACTGTAGCTGTCTCCTTGAAGCTTGAAGCATCTTTTCTTGTGGATAAAGCTGGCTCAAAGCAGAAAGGCTGGAAAAGGAGGGTACACTGCAGTGCTTAAATGTGTAGTATGAAGCAGTAGTCCATTGAACATAGGTACACTTAAAACTGTCATTAGGAAAGGATGTTTCATGGCAAAGAAAGGTGTGAGAATAGCAGAGGTTACCAGAGGTCTGACTTAGGGTGCAATGCGTAGCATCCATGACAACCTTGTTTGGAACCCCATCGTTTACGGAATAATGGATGTTTGTATGATATTATATTTTTCTGACTTCAGCTGCTTCTCTACAGCATTGCAGCTATTCACACACTTCTGCCAGTTATGGATGTTAGGAGGTGTTAACCTCTACAACCAAAGTCCCCACTGTAATTCTACTCTACAGGCAAAGCCATTGGTTTAACCAGTTAGTGCATGGTGTGCTTGGAGAGCAGAGCTTTGCTGTAATGCATAAAGCTGCTTTAGATTAGGTCTGATTCAGGGGCAATTGCTGGCAGGCCTTGTAGCCTGAATGGCGAAGTTGATCATCAGAGACTGATGGTTTCCAGCCATCAGTCTTCCAGACTCTTATCTGCTCAAATATGACTGAATTTTATGTGTGTGAGTAAACGGGGGAAATCTTCACTCCAGCAACTGACTGGTGGCAAGAGGCACAGTCACCTTCCCTACCTACACCACTGATGTTCTCTGCTCTTGGAAAGCTGAGTCAAGCATCAGCCATACTTAAAAATGCCATTATTAAATGGTTGGATATTAGGAAGAGTTTATTCTCAGAAAGAGTATTTAGGCATTGGAACAGACTGCCCAGGGAAGTGGTGTGGTCAGCATCCCTAGTGGCGTTCAAGAAATGTGTAGATGTACTTAAGGACATGGCTCAGTGGGCTGTATTGGTAATAGGTGGATGGTTGGACTAGATGATCTCTGAAGTCTTTTCCAACCTTAATGATTCTGTGAGGGATGTGTTGGTTCTGGGCACAGCCCGACTGACTGCTCAGCGCTCGGCTGGTGCCGGTTGGACCCATCCCTGAGCAGCAGAACCATCGCTGCTCTGGGAAGGAGCTCTGCTCTCCATCTAGACTTGAGCTTACGTGGCTCAGTTAAGAGCACTTTGTGCTCTTAACACCGAAAAAAAAGAACTTAGAACTGGAGGACTGAGTTTCTCCAGGCTGAGAACATATTTAAAGATGTAAATGAAGGTTTTGTAGAGATAAATAAAACATCTAGAAAAGAGGGAATTCTTTAGAGGAGACACTTTGCTGTGTTCCCCTTTGTGAGGGTCAGGAGCAGCTGAGTTGCTTTACTTAATGATTACTGACATTGGAAGAAGTGTGCAATGTACTGGGCTGCCTTTACTGCAGAGGGAAAGCAGTGGAATTTACTGTTAGAGATTCTTCTGCAATTCACAAACAGCCGTTCCTGTGCTGGGGGGCGCCAGGCCTGGACGCAGCACTGCAGATGGGGCCTCACAAGAGCCGATGGAGGGGACGATCGCCTCCCTCTCCCTGCAGGCCGCCCCTTGTTTAATGCAGCCTGGAACACAGCAGGCACACGCTGCTGCCTCATGTCCAGCTTCTCTCGTTCATTAAGAATGAACTTTCCAACCTTCTCTGACCTTCCTGAAGAAAGATAAACATGATAAACGTGTTAGACATTGGAGTTCACAATCTTTCTTGCCCGAGATGCATTTAAAAAAACAAACAAAAAGACCATTAGTTGGACTCACTTTAATTCCATTATGAAAATGGGAAAGAAGGTGGACAGCTGAAATTCCATGTAATGGCAGTAGCAGAATATCTAGCTCTGCAGGCTTAGTATTTCTCAATTTGAAACTCTTATTACAAACCAGAAGAGGAAAATATCTGTATTTTTGAAAATCTAAATTCTCAGCCTTACTAATAACTCAAGGCAGATAAGGGAATACTGTATACAGGCATTACAGAACAAAAGCATTCCTTCCTCAAAAACATCAGAGGGAAGTTCAGTGAGGGATGCTGAACAGGCAGGGCCAGAATGTTTTCTCAGGAGACCAAACTTTTTCTTATACCTTTTCTGTACAAAAAGATGTTTCAGAAGTAGAAAGTACTGCCTCTGATTCTATACTTGTTGGGTTACGAAAAGAGAAAATGATACAATGAGAAGGCAAAAAGGCCCCAGGTTCTTCTGACAAGCTCCTGTAAGCTAGAATATTTGGATAATTAGAAATATTAGTGACAGGTGCAGATCTTGAAGGTCCCTCCTGTAATTCATACTTCGGAACCTGAAAATACAGGATTATCAGATAAGTGGCATTCTGTCTGTGGATAAAAGATGAACATTACTGGTATCAGTTCTGACAGATAGGCAGTGGGGCCATAAACAGGATCTAAGTGTGTTACAGCAGCAAACATGCATCACTAGGATACATCAGATGACTTATTCCTTCTCACTGCTGTGACACTTCCCTTGGAACAGATCGTATCACTGCCACAGTGTAAGGAGAGTTTTTTCTCCCCTAGAAATGCAACTTGGGCACACCAGGTAAGCGGGTGCCACGTCTCAGATGCACTGATGTGCTTCGTTGCTAACGTTAGTGCTCAGGCTGGTCTCCTAAGTCCTTGGCTATCTGAAACCTTTCTCTTGGTGGAGTGAGGATTTCCAGGAAGAAGACACTCAGATATTCCAGGCCAGATGTTGTATGCACAAACCACACCTGTGCTGCCGACCTGTTCACCTGCAGTTGCCCAGACAGCTGGCTCAGCTTTCCTTCAGAAATAATATCAAGTGAACCTGACAGTTGTTATTCTAAACTGCTTTCAGACCCTCCAAGTAGAGTGATGCACAGGGAACAGGCAGAATTTACTGGAAGGAGAGTAAGGGAGAGTTGAAGAAGTGCAGGAATCCAGTGCATCACAGACTCTGAGGAACTAGGAGGCATTTTAGGACATCTTCCTGCAATTAAAATTAATGTGTAGGAACAGTACACATTACAGTATTCACAGTATTTGCATGGCCCTTGGAAGTTACTACAAGCGCTGGCTGAGAAATCTGCCTCCTCTGACCTCCCCAGCACAGCACTTTTGAGGCTGGTTCTCCTTCCCCTCAGAACTAAACTCATACTGTGACTTCCATTTGATGTAAGTAGTCTGCAATTTTGGGGATGGATGCTCACTCAGGAAAGAGTTGTGACTGTAACACAGAAAATTCAGAGTGCTCGTTTACATGACCATTTATTTGCCTGCTGAGTCACACTTTGTTAGCCATACGAATTGTTAAAAAAAGATACGAGCCATAATTTCATGACAAAGAACGTGCCTAAGCTTCCATTCAAAATCCTTCTCTCTCCACCATTTCCAGCCTTGGTGAGTCTATGATTCTGTGATTTTGGTTTGCTCAGCTAATATCTCCCTACACTGATATATCAGAACTAAGAACAGGAGAATAGTGTTTCTGAAGGATGAAGCAGTGTATAATCATATTATTTCTTGCTGTCTCTGACTTCCATCATCTCCCTCTTCCTAAATGAAGGGAGTTCTATTCTGTGTTTTCCTGGCAGTAGGAATTGGCAGAGCCCACACGGACAGGCAGAACAACAGTTCTACATGTTCAGTGCAGGGTTCCTCTTCCATGAGGCATTCCCAGGAAATAATAACCTGGGAACATTTACCTCTGTGGGCTGAGCTATTAAGAGCAGCCAGAAGTTGGGCTGGGCTGTTGCACTGCCTCCAACACTGGGCAGTGCCCGTCACAATGTCCAGCTCTCCTTCTTGTTCCCTTGCACTTTCTCACCTGCCTGAAATGATAATTTTTCATTCTTCTAAGTACATTCCCTGCGGGGACCCATCATTCTGTTCCATATGTCATCAGTTTAAACCTATTTTTAAGGCAGACAAGAATATCGCTGTCATCTTCTTTCTGTTGGGACTTGGAGAGTTCAGGAGGAGTTGGAGAGCTGAGAAAATGAGATTTCATTGAGCTTTGCCTACATTAATAGAAAATAATACACACTGCATTGGGCAAATGTGCTTTGTTGCCACCACTACCTTCTGGTTGGAGCAGCTGCAGATCATGCCTCTCGTCCTTCAAGCAGCTGGGGGCTGTGCTCATGATGTCTCCCAGCACAGTGTGGCTCTTGTGGGCTACTTGGCCTTATCACTACTCCCAGTCTGAAGCAGGGAAGGCTTTGCCAACTTGCCTCTGGAGATCTGGGAAGCAGAGGGCTCAAACAGAGCCAAAGTAATCGCGGCCAGGGAAAAAGCTGCCATCTCACTTCCATTCGTGGAACACCAAAGTTGGAAAAGACCTGCAGGATTATCCAGTCCAACCATCCACCTATCACTAATAGCTCTCACTAAACCATATCCCTCACCACAACATCCAAATGTTCCTTGAACACCACCAGGGTCAGTGTTCTCTGAACATAGGAGACTGAACAGTTTCTTTTACTGTTAAAGATGTGATTCTGTCTGCAATGTTAGTTTAAAACCTGACGCTGCAGTATCTGCTGAGAAGGCTGAGGTGCTAGTTTTGTTGGCAGGCTCACCACGTGAAAATGCAGAGATTCCACAACTAGCTTAAGCTTCACCAGTGGCGATACCCTGAGGGGAAAGTTTTTCATGAGAAAAACTTTCAAGAGGAACCCAACACAGTGTTATGCTTTTTGCTCCGTAGCAAATTCCAAACATGGAATTTCACATCCACCTACTCTCTGAAGGATGGGGAAAGGAGTTGACACTAAGGCTGGGCTATTGCTGAGCAATCTACAAAAAAAGAAATCCCTTTCATCCTTTTGCTACTGTCTCTTTAGAAAATACACTGCATCATAAAGGTACTATGAAACCAGCACGTTTCTTTTTGCTGACCCTTGCCCTGAATCATAACTGAGCATATATAATCCTCAAACAACAGAAGAATCCTTCTATGGATTAAGAGGATTTGAAAAACTGTTGTAATTCGTCTTGATGTTGAAGTATCCCACCTCATTCCATGCCAAGTGCCACTTTTATTGATCAGTCAGTGGCTGAACTGCAGCAAATACCAGCCCAGCCCTGGCCATTGTCTGCATCACATCCGTGGCTTTTTGGAGAGGCCTCAGGCAATGTGGGAGCAAGTGACCAGAACAGCTTCATTCACAGCTGTACACACAAACCACCTGCACTACAATCCCAGTCATCACAGCTGAAATGATGGGTTATGAAATTTCATCGTGGGATTTCAGGTATAATGGCTTAGAAATCTTCCTCAACTTTTCCTGGTGTCGAAACGTACGGCCTTTTTTCTGGGTAAGACCCATGGGAGGCAGATGGATCTGGAAAAGAAAATCCCACCAGTCAGGTGCAAAAGGAGATGTTGCAAAAACAAACAAAACCAGAAAGAAAGTAAAAAAAAAAAAAAAAAGCATACACACAGACTATTTCATTGAATTTTCAATAATTCCTTCACTCTTTGGAGAGGGCAACCACGCTGTTTGAAGTCCGGTTATTAGATTTCCGGGCAAAGAACTCTCTGAGGAGTGATCAGTGGTGGGACTCTGAGGCCTTAAACATTGCATTTAAGAAAATCCTATCTATTTGAGGTTTTGTTAATTCTGGATTTTGCAATTTGAAATCAGATTGTGACAATAACATTGCTGAAATATGTCTGCAAGCAGTATTCCAAAACAGCAAGACACAGAAAACCTGTGAATTTCCTGAGCAGAAGTCTGAATGAAGTATGCTTTCCTCATACCTAGCCAGCAAGCTACATCTATGTCTTGAAATACTGCCTTCTTATTCATCATCATATATACCGTACAAAAATGCACAGCCAGCGTCATGGGTTCCAGAAGCCAAAGGGGCAACAGGTAACTTTTGGCTTCTCCTCTGCCTGACAGTCCTTGTACAGTGGGAGTCACACAGCTCTATGCCCCCAGACGATGGAAAAAAGGTCAGTGTCAGCAGTAGATGCTATTGATGCTGGAGCTTGACCCTTTAATACAGTGCTTTAGGTGCAAATAAAGGTACTGATGGCTTAGTTTATATGAGAGCACTGATACAGGACTATCCCTTAAGGGTTTGAAGTGGATGCAAAGCATATGTTCTGATGCTCCTTTCTAGGGTCACAGCTTGTCAGATGCTCGCTCTTATTCTGCATAGTGGAGAAAAAGAGCAAGCTGTATGTGCAAGACATGCTAAAAGTGAAGGTATTTTAGGCAGGCATCCAATCAGATGCAAATTAATTTGGACCACAATCACCTTGGTAAGTAAACTCTTGATGTGAAAATCTAAACTAACCAGCAGAAGAACAAAGGCAGTGCCTTTGGGAAGGCAGTGTGGGAGGCAGCGTGTAGTAATGCGGACAGGAGCAGCTGGATGCTGAGGAAACTATATTGCCTGCTGCAACAGATGACATTGCTGCACCTTCACTAATTTCCCTCATCTTGAGCAGGTTTTTTTCTAGGGACAGGTGAGAAGAAGCAGCAAGGCAGGAAGGTGCTTTCTAAGACCTGATCTACGCCAAGGAGAATAGTTACAGGCAGCACAGGCCATGAAGATGACTAGGTCTATGACACATATAATTAATGTAATTAAATAGTTTTATTCTGTTCTACTCTCTCGTTACATGAAAGATGAACAAATGGATTTAATTCTGTTACCATCTTTCTCTGCAATCCATTGAGCAGTGAATCTGCTCACACAGTGACAGTCCCCAGAGCTCTTCTCACACAACAACAGCAGGGTTAGAGAGGAAACAAGCTGACTTACAGCAAGGTGGGAGAGATGTCTGCATGCACCTGGCTTACCTGGCTCTGATTTAGCAGAGCACCTGAGCACAGATGGGATGTGCGGCGTGATGACAGTAGTATGGGCTTATTATTTGAGTGTCATGTGGGAGCTAATGAGGTGCACCTGTGGTGAACAGACATACTCACAGGTCTTGGGTAGGGGATGTTGTAGTGAAGTCCAATTTCTATTCTTGCCTCACATTCTTCTATGCACTGCTTAATCAGCTTAGGATCTGCCACCTAAGATAACAGTAAGTTAAAAATTAATATTTTGTAGAAGTACAAAAAATCAGCATTTCAAAACTCAAGCCTTTTTTTCCTCTTCCCTTCCTCTTTGCAGTTCCAAGGATACGATGATGGAGTTTTTCACATCTGTACTTCTGTGCTCAGTGGCACAGAACAGCAGTACCCAGAGGCTATCAGGACTGTGAGAGTACAAGAGGGTTTTACTCAAGTTTGGTGTTTTGTCTGTACAAAAGACAGTGCGTGCATAAACTACCGCTACCCCATGAAAAGCCCCACTCTTGCATTCAGCACAAGGCAAGGCAGAAAGGGAAAGAGAAGGGTGACACATGGGTGTCATTCTGTCCTGAAACTCACACTGAAGTCAGAAACGTAGTGTTCATCTGCACTTAACCGTGATTTTTATATCAGCTGAATTTAGTCCTGCACTGTACTACAATGCCTGCTCCAAAAATAATGCCTCCTATTTCATTTTGTTGCCATGTGACAGATGGTAGCAGAGGGCACGTGACAGAATGCCTCCTAATTATTTTCAAGGAAATGACAACAGCTACAAAGAACAAAGGAACACTACTTGGTAAAGAAAAATCTCTATCATTGTTCACAAGCATTGATGAATGTCAGTGGGTGCCATTTTTCCAGGTGGAGTTCAGTGCCACCACTCCCCTTCATCCACACTTCCATGTCAGACACCATTTTGTCAGACTGCCCCATTCTGTCAGATCCGTCACACAGCAAATAAAAAGTAATGGAATACTGGTGGGAAGGTTCAACCTCTGCTGCCATTCCACCAACAATCAGTGCTGCCTCCAATAGAAGGCACAGCTTTCAGAACAGTCCTGCTATCAATTGTCTAAGTCCTTCTTTTTTTGTTTTTTTAACTAAACATTGCCAGGTTTCCTCACTAGCTGTACCAGATACATTGACAAAGGTTAAAGAAAATCACTTCAGTGTAGTTTGTACAGCTTCATACAGATCAAGAGATTGAGTTGTGTCTTTTAGTGGCACCAAAGCAGCCATTTCTTCAGTGACATTAGTTATAATACCTCAAATGACAACAACAAGTTGAACCATAGCTGTAGCATCAGCACCTTCATCTATCACCAGAAGTTAAAATTTGAAATTAGCAGCTCTGCCCTCCAAATTTCTTTTGATAGATGTTCCTGTTTATTCACTTCACTTGGCTATAGGCTGGTGAGACAAACCAATGTTAGAAAACTGGGTTTTAATCAGGACAAACTGTATCTGCCATGCTTTCCATCCATTGCTCAATAAACTCACCATCAGTCAGTAGGTGTGATATTTTTGCTATCAGATTTGCTACTGCATAACAAGCTTCAATATTAGAGTCCATCTAAGGTGTAACTTTAGAAAAAAAAATGTTGAGAAGATATTTTTTACAGTTCCGCTATTTCTCTTCACAAAACATTCCTCGGTATGCACTCAATTTGCAGCATGTGTTTGCACATAATGACTTTTCAAACAGTACTCCATCAAATCAGACACAATTTCCTTGCTAATTAAGCAGTGCCGTATTAGCTGTCTTGGCAATAAATACTCCTCTGTCCATTTTTTGTTGAACACTCATCCTTCAACCACAATTTTTCATTTTTGGGGACTCTGTTTCCTTTGGAGATAGCAGGAGGTTGGCTGAGTCCTTCCTGGCAGTGGTTGGATCAACACATCAAGCAGCACAGCGAGCAGCACGAGCAGTGCTCATCGAAGTGATGTGGCTGGCCTTCCTCAAGAGTTAATGGAGATCTCAGAGGGTTTGAGTTCTCTTACTAAATGTCACCCCTGAAATAATAAGCTGTAACTCAAATGCACCTTAGAATGTGTTTGTACCAGCATTTATGGTGAAGGAAATTTGGGAAACCATTTCTTATATTCACACCTTAGCATCCAGCCACCAGGAGCGTGCATAGCACAACAAAAGGAGACAGAAATTGAAACCTGCAATGACACTCACATCTTTGTTTTTTCGGAACAATGTTTTGGCTTCTTTTATAATGTACTCCCTCTCTGCAGCAGTTTCTTCCACCTGTCCCGACGCTGACTGCCATTTCTTGGCGATTCGGAATACCTTGCGGTAAAGGCCCAGCACTTCTTGTCGTGTGACTGCTGCCATCTGAAACAAACCAACACCACAAAAGCCCCAATGTATGTCAAAGATCACCACGCGTTCTGTTTTTCTACACAGTTCAATTGGCTTAGGAGTATTTCCACCACCTAAAGAAAGAACTGAAACAGCTGTTAAAAGCAATTAGCTGTTGAAACCTGAAGACCCAGTCCAGCAAAATATCGGCACTGAGACTTAAATCTGCCCCAGAGCAGGCAGCCTGAGCTCCTACCTGAAGTTAAGGGCTCGCTGCAGTGCTTTGCTGAACCAATCACCGGCTCAGGAATGGCCACGTTTTCCCTCACTGCTATTTTGCAACAGGCATTGGGCGAGTCACCGAAACTCTGAGGTGTCCCCGTTGTGTCGTAACAATGCCGACCCTGTCTACGCCAGTACCTTCAGATCTGTGAGTCAACCACACGATGACAGCACTACAGCACTGCTGAATGCCAGTATCGGTGTGGATGGGGCTGCTGAATCACCGCCTGAACTCTGATTGATCACCTGAGGCCAGCACTGAGTCAGCCAAGGAGCACAGGTGAAGGCGATTCAGCTGTGCTGCAGGAAGGGGTGGAGCCTGGCTGCACCTCTCCCAGACCCATTGAAGAGCTGACCACCAGCAGGGAAGGATCTCTGCTGGAGATCCACTCCACTGGAGTTTCCCATGCGAGCCCAGGATATGGGTGAGTGTACCTATCATGTCTGTTGCCCGCTTTGGTGTAATAACATCATAGCCAAGCTCTCTGTTATACCATACCATCTCATTCATTAATTGTACACTGCTATACCATAACATTGGTATATTCATTAACTGTGCATGGTGCCAGATGCAAAGCAGCTCGTTTGCTGCGCTACAGCAGCGTATAGCAATGATTCAGGCAGAGTCTGATGTGATGAAGAGGTGATGAAAGCAATGTTATCTGAGCATCACAGGAGGCAGACAAACAGTGAGTTTAGGACAGTCCCGAGCGCCCCAATTTTTGGAGAGCTGGCTACCTGCTCTCCACACTCCAGGTGTGCCAAGAATCTGTGTCAGAAATGAAGAATGAAATCCCATTCTCATTCTGTGTAAATGAGTACTTTGTCATGTAAGCGGTGCCACTAAGATAGATCCCTTTCCACCTGGATTAGATTCACCAAAACAATGACTTCAGGGATTGTCAAAGGTATTTTACTGTCCCTGAAGGACAATGCAGCAGCACTGCAAAGTAAGTGCGTGAGTGCGATGAGGAGTGAACGCTGAGCACAGTACCTGACTGGGCTGTCTTGGGACCTACTTGCCAACTTGGAGCTCCAGTTGCTGAATGTACCCTGACATCAGACCACAGCAGTTAGAAGCAGGGTCACCGCTGTCCTCTGGGAAAAGAAGGCTGTCGGGAATAACCCACTTGGCCAGGGAAACCTGCTGATAAACCTGGGGAAGCCCACCAACTCAATATGAGTGAACAGCTTCGTTTATTGTAAATACAGTAGAGCTTATATAGATACAGAACCCGAAACCACGGTTATAAACAACTCTATAAATCACATACCTAGGGCACAGTGTTCAGACAAGCATATCGAAGGAACAAAAGCGAGCATTCCATAAACCCATTTACCAAGCACCGTTGCTTAGGTACAATCTATGCTACAGTCATTCCAAGCACAAACCGTCCCTGGCTCCTAAGCCACTTCCAAGCACAAACCGTCCCTGGCTCCTAAGCCACGCAAGCTAGTTTGATCATCTTCTAGAAACCCAGATTAGGATACAAGATAAAACCCACTGCAATGGGTTTTATCCACTTCCATCACCTTGGTGTACTGCAGAATCCGATTCCTAAAACACGCCCCCAAGTTACTGCAAGAGGTTTGGCAACTTGGATGTTTCACCTCCCTGTAGTCTGTAGTAATTCCTGTTACTGGGGAAAGCAAAGAGTGGTCAGGATGAGGCCATGCAGCTCTGAGAGACGATCCCACCAGGGCACCCGCCCTTACCAAATGTAGAGGCACAGTGCTGACCTAAAGACACAGTTTGGTGCTCCGTGCTTTTGGCTAAAACTTCCCAACACTTCACTCCCAGCCTGTTCTGCTGTAAGCATTGCCATCACCTGAAAGCTCCTTGTTTCATAACCTCTGTAGAGGATCTTAAATACAGACATGAAATTGTTTCTCTGATTATTGAGAGAACATTTGTATTTCCATATTTTAAAATATTTACCTAATCGGATATTTTCCTCCACATACAAATTGATTTCTCTTAGCCAGCAGAAATTATTTCTAGTAAATACGTAGGGTATTTCCAGGGAGCAAGTACCTGTGATAGAACAGACAGGCAGCCCCACTCATCAATCACTTCGGAACAAAAGCTTCACTTTATTCACTCTATAGCTCCAATTCTGGGAAAGAAATAAAATCAATCATACACAAAACCACTCATGCACTTGTATCTTAGAAATCATTGCTTCCTGCTGTGTTCTTTTCCAAGTAGCAGCAGCTTGGTTGCAGGGCTGCCCCGCAGCCTGAGTCCCACACCACGGCCTCACCCTCTCTGCTTCTGTTCCCAGGCGTTCTCTGGGAGCTGCTCACACTTGCAGCTCCCCAGTGCTAATAAATGGGAGTGTGCTCTTGAGAGCTTCCTTCTAGGTTTTCACATAATCCATAAATAATAATAAGAGGAATAATTTCAGGGGAAACTAAGTTTTGAATAGATATTCCAATTGCATCAAGTTCCTGCAGCCACAGCTCAGGACCTGTACCTCAGAGCTGTAATCACAATTAACACTTCTGGATCTTAAACAACACAAAGAATCTGTTCATTAAGATTTTGTCTGGAAGTTTAGGAGCAGCATTCCTTTCTGCCACTGTCCACTTCCTCTCCTCCCCCTGGAATTTACTTCTCTGTTCTGCAATGTCTTGGTGCTGGAAGGGACACAGGGCTGCACAGCCCCTGCTGCAGCACTGCTCTCCTTCCTGCACATGCGGGGTGATAAACATGGAAAGTAGACCTCCACTTGCCCTCAGCAACCAGCTCCTCCTGCAGCTGCCGTTAGTTAATGATTTGCACAGTTCCTGCACAGATCCATGAAGGTGTGAGGAGCTCTGTGCCTCCTCCTCCAGAGCCAAGAGCAGACAGGACAAAATTCAAAGCGTGGGTCAGACTCTGACCTCAGAATGCAAACAGGGAGTGATTCCACAGAGAGAGAAAAATTACTTTCAACCTAAAACGTGAAGAAGAGATCCATTCTTTTTGTTACAAACAGAACACACACTGACAGAAGTGTAAGGAAGAAAGTAAGGAATTAGTACAATTCTGCAGCTGACACCACTTGTATTAGTTTTGTGGGTGTGCAGAATGACTCTGAGTGGGACAGAAAGGAGGATAAGGAAGGATTTTGTGTCCTGTTAATTACTCATCATGCTGCTTACATCCTTGGCATTTACATCATGATTATATTTCGCAGCTCTGGAAAGCAAAGTGGATGTTGCAGCACTTTCCCACTAACGTGCATCTCACGATGGTCACCACTCGTGTCTCTGTGGAATGCAGCCCACAGATGTTACCCACAAGTGCTTTTGTCACAGAGTACAGAGCTATGCCATTTGCTGAGCAAATCTCAGGTGTTTACTCCAACAGAGCAAACAAGGAGAGGTCGAAGGTAGGTCTGCAGTGTGACAAGTGGTGGGGTGCAGGCTGCTTCAGGGCAGGTGAGTCAGCAAGCCCTCCAGGAAGAGACTGCTGGATGCTGAGGCACAGCCCAGACCGCTGTGGGGCTGTGTCCTTCTTTTCATCTACCTGCAAACCCGTTACAGCAGGCAGGTCAAGCGCCCCAAGTGTCCCATTGTTCCCAAACCTGCAAAGGCGCCTTGAGCTTTCAGGAGCTACTGCACAATGAAAATGCAGTTTTTTTTGTTGTGTTCATTAAAACAAGTAGTCCTCTAGACTACAAAAGGTAAAAGCATGTTTCTCTTTCAAGAAACAAACACGCATGCCTTTGATTTTTTCGGATGGTCAAAAAAGTCAGTGCAGAAGTTCAATGGCCTGAATAACCAGTTGAACACCCGTCTTCTTTTGCTATTTGCAGGTTTGCATAGCATTCAAATTAAAAGCGCACACAAAAAGAAGGAAGGGAATCTGTCAGCTGCACTGTGAGGTGGCACCAGGAGTGCAGTGTCAGAGCTAGGATGGGGGCCAAGTGGCACGGACACTCATTGGTGAGCAGCAAATTCACAGTGTGGGCAGCCCTCTCCCAGCTGCATGGCTCCTCCGCCGCACCATATGTCTGTTTCATGTCATCCTTCCACGTCAGTCATTAGCTACTCACTTTAAGCATCAAATCTGCAAGCAGCAAGCGCAAGGAGGGCTTTAGTCAACAAAGGGTGAAAGCTCATAGGGAAAAATGGATATTTCAAAACAACAGATTTTTACTAAGATCTAACTAAGGCATGCATTAGGAACACAGACGCTTAATGATGACGCTGAAAGCATATCTGCCCAAAGGAGAAGGCAGGGAACAGAAGACTGCATGGAATCTCCTGACAAGGGAGGTTTGAACTTCTCAGGTGTGAAACGTTTTACCCGGTGGCAGTACGCCCTACACTACTGGCAGGGTTGCTCTGCCAAGTTGCTGGGCCCACCGTGGAATGAAGTGACATAATTCAAAAGCATAACGCATGAACGTTATGGTATAAAACATGATCACCTTCAGCCTGAAAAAGAATCTATATCTCATATTTTTTAAATGCACTCCTTGGCTAACATTCATTTAAAGAGATACAAAAAACCTGTGCGTAGCCAAATGATAGCACTCAGCTAAGCAGCTCATCTCCTGCCACTAACACAGCAATAAGGCTCGTTTCACACCCACCCACAGCAACAAGAAGTCAGCAATCTACACTCGCTCTCGGGCACATTTCTCTGGCACACTGTGGTGGGTCAGGAAGAGGAGGGCCCAGGCTCTGTGACAGCTGCACACTGAATTCCAGAATTCACCTTCCATAAAAGTAATTCTGTTCCCTCTTACTCAAATCAGAGACATGGTGATCTGTGACAGCTATGTGCCTGCAGTCAGCACCTGGCAAAAAACTGTGTTTGATTTCCACTGCTTTCCATTCTTAATGGAACGTTTACACCTTTTTCTTTTATAGATTCAGACAAAACCAAACAATAACAAGACTTCCATCACAGCTAAAGTATTCTGTTGTCACATGGTGAAAAATGAACTAAGCTGGAAGATCACACTGTTCTACACTACATCCTCATTTCCACCAGCGATACAAACCTGCACGTTTCAATAAAATTCCACCAAAGACCAATTTGATTCCAAGCATTTCCAAGCTGTTTGCTACAACCATAAATCTCAGCAAATTTGATGACAGAGCAATTGAATCGAGTTACTTAGTAATGACACCAGAAAGAAAGCAAGGTGGCTTTAGAGTGGTTGTCTCATTTGTAACACCAGTACCTTGCTGCTGGCAGGCTGAAGTGGTTTGAAACACCAAGTACCACCTCTCACACAGCTGAAGTCCCTGTGCCTGTGCTGCCCATCAGCTGCACTGGGAGCACTGCCTGCACCTGGCTGTCCGTTCAGCTCCCTCCTACAAAGGGGCTGCCTGTTGGTGTCGCCTTTTGGTGAGAAAAAGGAAACAGAACACGAGAACGGAATTAAGTAGTAAGAGTGAGGGCTTGGATTTTATCACTGGTTTCCAGTGCAATTTCAAACAAGTAAAATTGCATAAAATGAGGATTCTTTGCCATTCTCTTTATTTGAATAAACAAAAGTGGAAACCCTTAACTCGTCCCTTTTGATGACAGCTTTCATTCCCTCTCTCTAAGGCTGTTGAGACATCACCTGGTTTGCATGGGATGGGCAGAGTGCGCTCTGCCAGCCTCAGAAGGAATAGAAACGCTGACCACACTGCAGAGAGGCGGTGGGAAAAGGAAACAGGAAAAAAGCTTCTTTTCTCGGGGCTCCGCTCCGAGCGCCTCCCGCACAGCACCGCGGTGCAGCAGCTGATTCCCGGCAGCGGTTCACGCTGCTGCGGCTCCTCGGCCGTTCCCGGACGAATGCGGCGCGTCGTGCTGCGGGGAGCGAGCAGCGAAGGGCGGGGCGAGGCCGGGCCCGGCATCCCGAGCCGCCAGCGCCGACACCGGGGTCGGCGGAGCGCCGTGGACCGGGAGGAAGCGGAGAGACCGCCCAACCCAGCCCAGCCGGACCAAGAAGCCCCGAGC